AAGACCAACCGAGTACGTTGGAAATGTGGTCGAAGGATTAATGCTTCCGGGAAAGAAAAGAAGGGGAAGAACGAAGAAAAGGTGGCGCGATGTCATCAAGAACGATATGAAACTGCGAGGAGTCTCTGAAGATATAACGAACGACAAAAAATGTGGAGGAGGTTGACTCGATTAGCAGACCCCTCTTAAAGGGAACATGCTAGGAAAGAAACAGAAAAAGAAGTCGTCCAGATATTCCGCCTTCTGGCCGCCGAATCCATCATTTTGTGTTTGCGAAGTAACTATGATGAAAGAATGTTTTTAAAATATTAATGATACCGGACTGAATCGGCAAAAATGCACAGCATTAAAAAAGAAGAAAGTAGTTTTCACTTTACACCAATAGTGCTATTGCACTGCCGCTTTCCTTCTAGACGCCTAGGAGGACTATTTAAGCAGGCTGTTGCTCCATGGTATTTAAGCGCCTACTGTGCATAGGACGCAAGATCGCGTCTCAAACGTGGGTTGAAAAAAAATATTTTCAACCAGGCAAGATTGCGGCGATCCGTAGGCGAATAAGTGACAGAATATGATTCCGATATCCTAAGGAAGATTTTTATACCACGGTTGAATATATCAGATAAAAAATCATAATGATACAAGATTGAAACAGCGAAAATGCACAGTGTAAAGAAAGAAAAATCTTTCTCACTTTTCACCAGCAGTACTGTTGCACCTCCTTGCTTTGAGACGCCTAAAGAATGTTCTCCTTGGCAGATTGGCACGAGCAGTGTTATTCCATGCTTTCTTCTTGCTTTATGGTCTGAGGGTCCTTTGCTTAGGGAGAATTGAAATGCATAAAAGGAGTAACATTTACTTCAGATATTAACGACCTTTCTTAAGTTCATAAGAGGTTTCCACGGCTACTGCAGTGTCTAAGTTCTAAGGTATACGGTAATTGTAATCATGTCACATGATCCTGTATTTTAATGCTTGTCTGTTGTTCGCAGTAGAGACTGACTGATTAGACTATGTTTAGCGTACAGGCTATAAATATGTTTATATCTTGTGTGGTAAATGCATGCAGCTTTTTTAAACGGTTGATGTTTGCAGCTTTGTTGCCTCTGGTCGATTTCGAAATCATTCTGTAATTTAGGATGTACGGTAGTCTCGTTCGATGGCCACAAATGGAAACGTCTCTAAATGGTGATAAGTCTCTCTGCTGATCTGATCATTTTGAACTCTTGCCACTAGTAGCCTGTCTGCAATTTACACGTTGGACACATGGCCAGCAGATGGTTACGGAATATCGGCCGATTCGCCATTAACTCGTTGTTTTTACACAGTTTACCTGCTCGACTTAGAGCGGCAAGTGATGTTCAGTATGTTTGGCAAAGGATGTCGCACGGTCAAGGTTTGATAGATGACGACCAGGACGATGTAAAAACTACATTAGAAGAGATCAGGAGTAAATTGGAACTCGCCAATGAATTTCTACCCCATAAAGTTTTGCTCATTCAGCCGCACATCGCCGCGTATGTGCAGCGTTACCGTGGACTGGATTACGAACTGCTGATCACGGAAGCGAAGTCGCTTGTTGAGTCTGTCCCTGACTGGACACTGTACGGTGTGTATGCTGACCAGGTGAAGGTGAACATGAAGTCTGAAAAGCTGTTTGGCAGCGGTAAACTTGCAGAACTCGTCGACAACATAAAACCGAGGTGCGACCTGACGGCCATTTTCCTCAATGTCGACAGGCTAAGTTCCGCGCAGCACTTGTTTTTGGTTGGCACGTTCGGTATGCCAGCGTTCGATAGGTAACTGTTCTTTAAATGTTCAACGTTTCTAAAGTTGGTGCAGATCGTAATTTTTTTGCACTCATGACTATGTTGCTTCTGTTTCTGGTTGCAGTTGTCGGCTGAGGAAACATTTTCACTTAATTTCTTTTAGATTTATGCAGCGGTGGATTTTTCTGCTTGGTAACAGATCTTTAGTTTCCTCCATGCGACAACACTCTTGACATGAGTCAACAAGTTCTCAATTAGTCTCGCAGATGTTTACACTCACTGTCGATTTGTAATCGAAGAATTATGATGAAATATCAAGTTTTGGAGTTTATAAATGATTTTTGAGCCCTCTACGAAGTCCTTTTGCGTACGATAATTCTTTCTTGTGCTGGTAATAATTGGCTGTGCTTCTCTCGCCATATGCCTCGACGCCGTTGCCACGACAGCGAATTCCATTTGATCAGTATTCATTGAACGTTCCATACGACTGTTTGGTTGTTTCCGGAGACTGACCCCATTGAACGGATTCAAGCAACTGTTTTCTATACGGGCTCTATATGCTATAATTTCTGTCCTGCAGTAGTGTCCTTAGGGTAACGACACATCTCGTCCAAAGTTCTTACTTGCTTACCTCGCAGAAAAGAGAATTTATAGATTCTATCTTATTGCTTGTTTTTACAGCCAGAGCTTAAATCAAGCCTACGCTGTTTCGCTTCTAAGCCAGCTTTAAAACGATATTAAACAACTTTGCACCTATAAGTTCTCGATACTTAGTTGTTTAATGAAATTAAAATCACTCAGCAAATTTTACTTTCGGTGCGAAGAGTCAGTCAGAGTACCGATAGACTTTTTGTGAAGACGGCATTATAGTGGGACTCTTCTAATCAGGACATGAAGGTCTGATCAAGGTATTAGTGCACTTATTTTCATGCTGTATGATGGAATTGAAAATTCCAGACCACTGGACTACTCCTCACAAAGGAAAACAGAGGATTTGAAGAACTACAAACTGGGTTTCTGGTTTACATTCATCTACAAGATTTTCATGAATGTTCTGAGGAATAGACTTCAAGAAAACTGTACTCTACACAACCAAATGAACAAGCAGCAATCAAAAATAGATTTAGTACTGTTTATCATGTTCAGGTTGTACAGCAAGTGATTCGGACAGACAACAAATATCACTTTCGTCCCTACCTAGGTTTCGTTAATTTCGAGAAAGATTCACCCAGTCTATTCGTCATCTGTATTCAGTTCCTAAGGAAAAGGAATTAACAAGGGAATCGAGGAAAGTTATAGACCTTTTCGCCATAGTTTATAAGTATGCGCCTGCTAGTGTGATTCTTCGGGAAAGCACAAACAAGTTCAAAATAGAATAAGGCGTTTTACTTGGCGATGCAATATCGCCAAAACAGCATTAGAGCAGGTTTTCAGTATTCAATTTGCGGAATTGCAGACTATATTTCGATATTCCAAAAGTCACCGGAAGAACTCCAAAGAAGAATTCATGAGCTGAACGACGCCTCCATTAAAGCAGAGCTGAAAATGAACCTGAAGCAAACTCAGGTCATGTATGACAAATAGGTGACCCATCGACTTGTGAAGTCAACTAATTTAGGCTTATAGAGGCGCAGAAATATGTCTACCGGGACAGCTTATGTGTGCAACGGAAAGCTGATTATGTTAAATCAACGGAAGAATAAAAATGACATGGAACGCTTTACTAGTGATGGAAAATTGGAGGAAGAGATCGACCGGCGAATTGGAGTAGCCAGTGGCTTTCTGCGTGAACTAGCCCGACCCATTGTGACTAAAGCAGAGCTCAGTCTGAAAACTAAGCTCTCGATATTCAAGTCGATCTTTATCGCCATACTTACCTACGGTCATGAATCATGGACCGTCACTGAAAAACTTCGAACCTGGGTACAAGCTGCTGAAATGGTCTTTCTTAGACGAGTCGCTTGCCTTAC